TATTCGTGGTCGTCAATTTAAGTTAAAGGTGTTAGTGGTGGTACATTAGAGGTGATGATGGTGAATTGTGATATTGGTCTGACGTGTGTGTAGATTTGTTTGTGATGACCCCGTATGACCATGTGTTTGTTGTGACTATTTGTGTCCAATTTTTTATTGATTGTGATTGGTTATAGGTAAGATTGACATAGTCACAAACAGTCTAGTCAGATCAAAGACAAATTTGGTTACAGTTAATCACAGATAACATAGGTCGGTCAATTAGTTATATACGGTTATAAATTAGACGGTCATATGTAGTCATGGTGAAAATCAATTTGATCATAAATAGTTACATAAAACATAGGTATATTCACAAACAATAAATGTGGTCACAGATAAATTTTTGAGATTTTTCTACAGTGAAGTATAGAGAGAAACTGTTTTCAATTTTTGGAAATTTTTCTATCATGAGAACGGTCACCATAGCAATCATCGGAGCGATCACTAGAGAGGTCGTCGGAACGGTCGCAAGAGCCGATGGCCGCTTTTAATGGGGAGAATGGGTAGTGAGAGAATGGAGAGTAGAGAGAGAAAGAAAATGGTTTGGATTTGAAATTTTGAGTGATTAATTATATTATATTATAATTAAAATTTTAATAAATTGATTTATCACCTAATTTTTGGAAAATTTTATGGAGTATGTTAGTTTTAAAATGTGTTTCTTATGTGTAGGATTTATGTATTATTCCTCAATTTTTATTCGAACTCACCTAATTTGGATCCGAACCAACTAATCCAGTTCGACTTCAATTGAAATTGATCAAGTTCTGGGTCTTTAAAATGAGAATCGAACTAGTTTGATTCTCATAATTACAAGATCAAATTTTAATTGAATTCTAGAATTATGTAATTATAATTCTATACTGAATCTTAATTTGTATAAGTTCATACATCTTCAGAATAAATGAAAGTTTTATCATTTAAATATAGTGTGAAAGTATAATGATATATATTCAAAAAATTATTTTGAAGTATAAAAAAATTGAATAGAACCTAATCGAACAAAAAACGATCAACTCAGGTCAGTCTGATTCTCCTTTTTTCATAGTGGTGGGTCCAATTTCATAATTTTCAATGAGAATTGCTATGATCAAATTTTCAAGATGTCCAGTCCGAACCACTCCCACCGGCAACCTCTTCTTTTAAGAACACATATTTATTAAGACGCAACTTTCATGGTAGTTACAATATTAAAAAAAATGAAAATAAAAAAATTACGATAATCTATATTAGTACTAACAACAATCTCAATTTTTTGGCTAAGCTATTTACAAAATTGATTACTATTTACAATTGTCGTACAAGAATAACCATCTACTGAATAGTGAATAAAAAATAAATACTAATGTAAGCAAAGAAATGATCAAACAAAAAAAGAAAAGCAAAAAGAAATCTTGATTATGCCATTTTTGCTTTTGGTTGACACCAGTATACACAAATTCCCCAAATTTTTGTGCTTGCAAGTATGGTTAGAGTACTTTATGTTACGCCTTCTCAGTAAAAAACACGGCCACACACCAACGCTAAATCGTCGAGTAGACGTGAAGCCAAAGCGAGATCTTGCAGTGAAAGTTGAAGTTGGTCTAAAGCGGTACGAGCTGCCCGAGATGGAATAACCGAAGTACTCGTAAATGTCAAAGAGTTCCGAAACGGTATATACGAGTCTGAACCAGAGCTTTAACCCAAGATATGAATCTTTTGGGCAAGGATCTGTCCAAGAAATCTTTAGAAATGATGGATGTGACATCTCTGTGACATTTGTTAACTCCAAGTCAGAAATACTAAATGCTCGCTCACCTAGGAAATGATTGATAGACACCTACGAGTAAATGCCTTGCACCAACAGATGATTCCACGTGTTTCACATCTAACGGTACCATTTTCAACCTTCTTCCTATAAATACCAAAGAACCTAACCTTAGTAAGGCAATGTAACTTCATATTCTAAGTATATATATATATATATTATCCTCACTCTATGTGATAAAAGGTTCAACAGTTATCGCCATCGTAATCCGGGAGTCTACCATCGACTAACTTGATTGTGGGAGTGACCTTCGCTGGGAATGGCCATATACTTTTGACCGTTTGTGCCATGTGCAAGGAAGAATACATGTGAAGTTGCTTTCTATTAGCCATGTGTAAGGTCCGTTCTCCGAGGTCAATAGATTAACATTTTCCATGTGAATGCCTCTGCAACCTCAGCTTTCTCAAAACTACAATCGCCCAAAGCTCGTCTTTTAGTGGGACAACGCCTCTGCAACCTCAGCTTTCTCAAAACTCTAATAGGCCAGAGCCTCATCCTCCAGTGGGACAACGCCTCTACAACCTCAGCCTTCTCAAAACTACAATTATCTATAGCCTCATCCTCTAATAGGACAACGCCTCTGCAATCTCAACTTTCTCAAAGCTACAATCGCCCAGAGCCTCGTTCTCTAGTTGGACAATGCCAACCTCAACTTTCTCAAAGATGCAATCGCCTAGAACCTTGTCCTCTAGTAGGACAACGCCTTTGTAACCTCAATTTTCTCAAAGCTGTAATCTCCTAAAGCCTCATCCTGTAGTGGGACAATGCTTTTTGCAACCTCAGCTTTCTTAACACTGCAATCACCCAGATCTTAGTTTGTGATTCAGTAGTCCACGCCTTATATAAATATTCACACTTGGACTTAGGGACTA